ATCTTCTGCTTACTATCAACTCATCAATGATCCATATCAGTCATACTACAGACTTCAATATCACTTTGTTTATACTGCAGCCTTCACGTGTTTCATCTACCTCAGGCTATGTGCTGCTTTTGTTCACTGTTTCTCTATACTACTGCAGTCCTAATTCCCATTGTACTGTACAATCATCTCCTCACACTTGTATATATGCCTCTCTCCCACATTCTATCCATCACTTGTTTGATAACGGTGTTAGAGCCAACGTCGCTCTCACTGTAATAAAGTCGTTTTTCCTTATATTGTTATCCTTTTCCCTTCGATGCCTTGTGCAGTGTGTAGATGTGTTTTATTAACCCACTTTCATGCAGCGCTTCAATGAAGAAAACGTGTCAATTATCAAAACAGACGAAATTTGTTGAAAAAAATAGAAAATAAGATATTACTTGAATACATTTAATCTTTCAAATAAATTTGCAAAAAGGGATATAATGTTAATAACAGCTGACAGTGGGTCTAGATATTGCAACATATTTTCTTCAATTTTCAAAACGTTAAATTTCAAGGTAATAAACTACATCCGAAAAAATAGTTTTTGTTTTTCCTTTCTTTACTTTTTTTTCTGTTTCTGATATTATGAGAAGTGATCAACGATGCCATGTTACCGGCTGATTCCTGACAGCCGGGTTGCCATCTTATCACCTGCAGAGGTATTATGTACCAATCTGATACCCAAAACACGTGGTTTACTTCTGTACTGTACGGACATTCTCGGTGGCACGATTTAACGCTAGAATAGTAATGTTCATTCTTCCATGAGTTATGAAAAACACTGGGCCTAGATTTTCAAAGCTCTCTTAGCGTTAAGATAGTCGTAAGTGCCATACGTTAACATTAGCTTACGACTATCTTAGCGCTATGAGAGCCAGGACGTGGACGTTAAGCTTGGCCATTACCGTTCTGTTGGCATACTTGTTAAATAATAAATGAATATTACTTTATTTGCCCGAAAGGGAATTTGTTGCACGTCAGATGCTGGGATACATAAAAACAGCAAATTGAACACGCAACAGTATTCGAATCACCAAAACAGCACAGCATTTACATACATAGGGACTATAGTTGTGTAAATAGATATTCAACCACAGCAGTAATGATAACTGGTTTAGAAATGTATGAAATTTATAACATTATGATGTATGAATATTAGGTAAGGTTATATTCCTTCAAGGAACGTAACTCATTCTTGAAAAAAAGTGTCCGGCTTAGATTCATACTGATGGTATTTTATGGTAGGGTTTGTCATTGCTTCTGATATGTGACCTCTTGATTTTGTCTGTATGAAAAGCCACATACTTACGGGATAACTGTACTGTGTTTGACGAATTGGGGACGTATACCGGCGGTTATATAGCCGCAAAGTTAGTTATATCGGCGACGCGTAAGCTGATTATACGGTCGGAAATTTATGGCGTTGACGAATCAAAACTCGTGTCATACTAAGTTGAATTAGAATATGCATTTGGTTTCCGATTTCATAATGAAATATATATACATCATTATTTGATCAAACAATTTGAGGACAGAATTAATTGATTTCAGTCAAGTGTTTTCAACTGTTGGCGTGATCGGAGAATATGTTGGGTGGAAATGGGATAATACAGAAGAAAATATTAACATTTTTAATCAATATGGCATATATGATTTGCAAATAACCTTCCAATGGTCCATGTGTGTATTTTTTTCACAGGATGTTACAATACTCATCGATTGTCGGAATCATTATGCAAATCACGAACAAATGTGCATATCATTATTATTTTTTTTATTTCACAAGATTGTAATAAGCATGACAGATTAAATTTTATGTATACAAAACGAATTGACACATTGTTTGTTTACGATGAATATATAAAAACACAAAATACTCATGGTGATAACAAATGCACAGAAAATGTTATATTTTATGGTGAAAGCAAGAGACAGGTTTACTTCCCACTATTTGAACTGTTGCATTAAGGGCGCTACTACCAACGAAACCCATCCTGAATACTTTAGTATACCCATACCTGAAGCCAGTATCAGAGCATAATATATATGCCATATACTGACATAATGTAGAGCATGACACTCTTGGAGAAATAAACCAAGATCTGATGCCATGAATGATGTAATTTGATATCAGTAATTATTCAGCCAGTTAATTATTTTGGTTTTCAAATGCTGCAATGGAATCTGTGTACTGTAACATATTATAGACAACAGTTGTGCATACATACATTGTTTAGCATACAATTTGTGATATTGCTGTGAATTCTGGAGAGTTTGCTGTAGTTGCTGACCAATTGTAATTCAGATATCTACAATTACAAAATCTGAATGTATTATTGTTTGTATTTGAATTTTGGAGATATACAAAATATATCATAAAACTTTTGGTGATATATGGCAGTTATATGATATATAAAAATATCATAAAAATATTGGACGCGAGGGCCTGTGATTGTGAGTGTCTAGCTGGTAATAGTGAGTAAGTGAGTTTAGTTTTACGCCGCACTTGGCAATATTACAGCAATATCACGACGGGGGAGACCAGAAATGGCGCTTCACACACTGTACCCACGAGGGGAATCGACGAGCGAACCCTTTAACCATCAGGCTACCCCACCGCCCACCATATATATACAGGTGAGAAGCGGCAAAATGGACTAATAGTGATATGTGCTTACACATGAATAAATTTATAAAAAGGGTGACGACCATTTAATGTTCGGAAAGATGGCTCACATGCTCTTGCCACACAAGTTCATGGCATCTAGCGTATTCAGTTCATAATTAGATAAATATATATGTCTGTAAACACCTATGGTAAACAGCTTTCTCCACTACTTTCTACAACACATCGGTTTCTTTCCAAACCAAAGCCCCCGCACCCAGTTTCGAACATCGAATGAATAGAAATTTTCAGTTTTGCCCGTTTAGCCAGCAAGTGTTCGTAAGTCATACTGACTGCCCAACAGTATATCAGCAATCCAAATGAAATGAGTTATTGTCAATTTGGTTCAACATTAAAAAGGTCGGTTGGGAAAGGGATAAGTGAATACAGATGTCCCTCTTTGTGGGCATGTATGAAACATGTGTGTGTAACATTATATCAATTCACAGTCAATGGCACTGGGGTTTATTCACACCGTAATATACTGAGTCAAAAAAGAAACTTCACAAAATGTAATTTGAAAAATAATGAATAATTTTTCACTGATGATACATCTATGTATCTGAAATGGGACCCCATATGTTTCGACTCTAGAAAAACGTTAGCAAAACCCACTCAAACCCATCCATTCGTCGTGCAAATGACGTTAGTGCCAAAACAGGTTTTGCACGTGCAGTCGATCACGTGATCTTCGCATCGAAGTTTTCTTCATATGCACGTGTTTGCATTGGCCTCAAGAATTGAAAAAACACTTTTAAACCACAGTTCTAACGGTACTTTAAATGCCACGATTGTCAAATGTGCAACGTGAACGTGCTGTTGGCATGTTGCAAGCGGGAAGATCAGTTATTGACGTCGCAAGAGCAATGGGATGCAGCCGTCGTACTGTGTATGACTTGCGAGGTCGTCTACAACAAACTGGCACCACTTCTGATCGCCCAAGGTCGGGTCGTCCACGTGTGACGTCACGAGCAGAAGACCGTCAAATCGTCCTACGTCACCTACGTGACAGATTTCTGCCGGCAACACGAACCAGGGCTGAGATGTTTAGAGGTCGACTGTCCTCACAGACCATTCGAAATCGGTTGCGGGCTGCCAATCTCCATTCTCGACGTCCATATCGTGGGCCGATATTGACGCCGTTTCATCAACGTCAACGTCTGCTGTGGGCCCAACGTCACCTCCGATGGATCCAGAGAGACTGGAATCGAGTCGTCTTTAGCGATGAATCCAGGTTTACCCTCAGATTCGCGGACGGCAGGCATAGAGTCTTGAGACGACGTCGTGAACGGTATGCCCAATGTTGTGTACAGGAAGTCGACAGATTCGGGGGCGGAAGTTGCATGGTGTGGGATGCTTTCTGTGGGAACAACCGTTCCCGACTTCTGGTCATCCGTGGAAACCTCACAGCTGCTGCTTACCGTGACCAGGTGCTCACCCCTGAACTCGTTCCTTTCATGGCGGCTCATGGCCCAGGTCTACAGTTCCAGCATGATAATGCTCGGCCGCATACCGCGATGTTGACACGAAATTTCCTTCAAAACGCTGGAATCAACGTCATGGACTGGCCATCGAGGTCCCCTGACCTTAATGCAATAGAGCACGTTTGGGATGCACTTGGGAGAAGGCTTCGTGGTCTTAGGAACCAACCTCAGAATTTGCAGGAAATTGGCGCTGCCTTGCAAGAGCAATGGCGCAGAATCCCCAACCACGTGTTCACAAGCATCAGGCAGCCGATGAGGAGACGGTGTTTGGCAGTGGTGAATGCGCGGGGCGGCCATACACGATATTGAACTGAGACATTTCGCAATTTTATTCTTGTGACTTGACATTCTGTATACCCATGGTTTGGAACGGCGGTGTAGCCTAATGGAACTGATTATGGCACTGTCAGTGTATCGAGTACATCACACAGATCTCAGCAATGAAATAATAACAATTTAACCATCTTACCATCTCTTGTTCTTTTATAGTGCCCTGAAGAAAGAAAGTGAAGTTTCTTTTTTGACTCAGTATAAATACCATCCTGTGCATATTGTGGAAGGGTATAATAACGTTCCCACCAATTTCTAAAATTTATACGTGTGTGATTTGTGTAGTGCGAGTGATTCATATAATATTTTCAGCTTTATGGACATGAACCACAGTCATATTGGCCAAATAATGATTTAGATCATAGAACTCTTCTCCCACCTACACCTGAATCTCAACTGCAACCTTTCCTTCTTTGTCTACTACATGTACCCTTATGTACCCTTTTCTATATCATAGTGGGTGGGTGGGTTATTTTGTTCTATAGAAGTACCATTCCAAGTCCACGTCTCAGCTAAGGAATCTGGAATCCAAGACACGGTCACCCATTGAAAGCCACTTCACAGAATCGGTGATGGGAGCGGAGGTGGTGAGGGCGTACGGGGCTCAAGACAGATTTGTCCATAAGCTTGAGGACCGTATAGACAACTACAACAGGGTGGCCTTCTACCGGCTGTTCTCCCACAGGTGAGACTCGTTTTTCGTAAGGCAAAACCTGTTTTAAAATGAGTTCCTAGCAGGTACACCATGTCAAACTGAAAAGTATTGATCTCCGGGGTCCCTGGTGGAGATTAGAACCGGAATTGTGATTCGAAGGTTCGGGTGGATACGTATCTTGGTTTCTGAGACAGGGGGTTTCATATGTACAAGTTGGATTGCAATGGGGGTAGAGATTAGCCATGGACACAATCAGTGAAAAAAATCCCTGAATACAACCAGAAAACACAAGTAGTGAACACAATCCCTTGACACAACCAGCAAGCACAAGCAGTGAACAAAATCCCTGGACACAACCAGAAAACACAAGCAGTGAACACAATCCTTTAAACACGGCTTGACTCGCATTGGTTTCCCAATGACGGTATTTAGATTCTGCTCAAACATCATTTTGAAAATAACATCCTCTGAGACTACATACAAAGCACATTTTCAGTCATCTATCTGTTCATATATATTGATACCTAATAATGACGCGGATTGTGACTGACAATTTACACACTCCACATACTAATCTGTTGAGAAACACTGTTCCTGTTTCACGCTTTTGTTCTTGTCTCTATTGGTTTAATCATTTGTACTCAGGTGGATGGGTATACACCTCTTGGTAGTTGGCAATGTCATCTGCAGTGCGACATCTTTGCTGTGGAATCTGACCAAGGGAATCAAATCCGGTGCTCTGGTTGGGCTTGGGACGGCTTTTGCACTAGATGTAATACCTTTGATTTTCATTTTTTTAGTTCGAAAGCTGTTTTTTATTCTTAGTGGGTTTAATTTTATAATGCAGCAGATTAACTGCTCTGTTAGTAGACGTTAAAGTATTAATTTTGATAATGCAAGCATTTCACATATGTTCATTCGTTCATTATCTCATGATGTGTAATTGGTATCAAAACTTAGTCCATGTGCAAATCCGAAATGGCTGCTAATTCCAAAAATAATAACATACAGATTGATCTACTAGTTTAGAATTCTCAGTTATGTCTCTTCGAGATAAACAACTATAACAGATTTTTAGCTATTTCGTTTTGTGCTTTTCATCATTCGGAAGCTCTTATAAAACAGAAGACCACCTTTGCCTTATTTCTCATTTACTCACCAATTTACCTTTTCTAGAAAAATTCCTCCTTGGGGTTCATGGTTATTACTCAGAGCGAGGTGGAGGTCAATCTCATGTCCATGGACAGAGTCCAGCATTATATCAGCAATCCAAGTGAAGTGAGTTATTGTCCTTTTACTCAAACCTTTGTCACTCCCAGCACATATCACAATACACAATTACTGCCATAAATTTTTAATGCAGGTATCATGAACAACCAACACAAGAACTTAGAAAAACAGCATATTCTACCTGACATAAACAACCAATAAACAACGATTTGGGCAAAGTTGCCATTGAGACTAAACGGTATTAGCCTTGACACCTTGCACAAAGATGACAGTAAGAAGACGACATCTTCATTGTCAATTTCCGACATGTCAATAAGTGCTAGTGCCGACGGCCATGACTCCTTGCATAAAGACGACTTACAAAACACACGGGATGTGGCGCAAGGGAGATAACTCATGCAGTCCATGTGCTGGGCGACAATTTGGTTCAACATTAAACTAACAGGGATCGGTAGGGAAATGGAAGAGTGAATCCGGATGCACCTTCGTTGAGGGCATGTATGGACGTGTGTGTGTCATAAGATGAAGTCATGGTCAAAACTGACACTGGGGTTCATTCATCACACCGTTCATATGAACCATCCAGTGCCTATAATAGTTTTTCCTCCATTTTCTTAAATACGTGTGTGATTTGTGTGGTGTGTGTCATTCGCATATTTTTAAGCAGTTTTTTTTACGTTTTGGGCCCATTAGAATCTACTTAAGCGTAAACTCGAGACGAGTATTCATTGGCGTTGACGTTCCATAGCTATTGAAAACTATCGTGTGCTTGAACGGTTGGCATTCGTGCCATTCCTAGCTGAATCGACCAGACAAATTTCAATACTAAGTAATTTATAGTCCCGTCTTGGACGGATTATGGGCAAAGTCCCACAGGAATCGTCATTCGTCCGTTTAGGGGTTTTCTGTTGGTTTTGGCGCACCGGGTCCAGACTAGCTAATCATGTTCCACTGTATCAACTTTTAGGCAGTTTTGAGAAAGAGACAGCTTTCCTTGAACTGGCCCGACAAAGGCAGGCTTGAATTTCTCAACTACAGCCTCTGATAGCGGCAGGACAGGGAACTGGTGCTGAGGAACATCTCATTTACTGTATGTGGAGGAGAGAAGGTAAGTGGAATATCTCATTTACTGTACATGGAGGGGAGATGGTAGGTGGGATATGTCATTTACTGAACATGGACGGGAGAAGATAGGTGGAATATGTCATTTATAAGGTACTTTGAGTGCAGATTGTAGGTAGGTGTTTCATTTACTTGCTTTTGAAGATGATGATTAACAAATTCATATAATGGTAAGGGTAATCTTTGACGATTGTTTAGAGTATTGTAAATTCTCCTTTCATGAAATTTGTATTGAATCACGTTATGTTTCTAAAACGAAAGTGATATTACAGATAGGTGTTGTCGGCAGAACAGGAGCGGGTAAATCCTCCCTGATGCTCTCCCTTTTCCATCCATTGCTGAAATCGGACTTCATGATCTCAGGGGAAAGCTTGCTATCATACCACAGGTAGGCAGCCTGGGCTAAGTAAGTACTTCAAGTAACCTTTGCCCTGAACAGTAGCATTTCGCGCATCAGCAAAAGAGTCAAAACGTCAAAATGGTGGACGTTACCACTGAGTCACAATCAGTGAAAAGGTAACTCTAACAATTGAACCAACAACTAGCAGATCCTGTTACAGACAGACTTCTCCACCATGAAAAACTAATTTTTGCTTCCTGATACGAAGCTACCGTGAACCCAGAGTAACCGACAAGCTTCCTGAATATGGTTCAAAAGAAAATATCGTTTAGATAGATTGACAACAGAAAAAAATACTCCTTTCAAGGACCCTTTCCTCTTCACGGGTCCTTTGAGAATGAACCTTGACCCCGAGGACCTGTATACAGATGAGGACATCTTTGCCGCCTTGGACCACACCCATCTTCGCAGGTTTGTGGAAACTCTGCCTGATGGACTGGACACAGACTGTGGAGAAGGAGGAATTCACGTCTCGGCAGTGTTGGGCAGCGTCAGTTATTCTGTATGACCAGAGCACTCCTCCGAAAAGCCAAGGTTCTTCTTCTTGATGAGGCCACAGCTTCCGTTGACATGGAAACCGATGACCTGATCCAGCAGACAATCAGGTCAGAGTTCAAGGACTGCACGGTGCTGACCATCGCCCACAGACTCAACACGGTCATGGACTACGATAGGTAAATTCGATAAATATATTCGTTGAGGACTACCCATAAGGGTGGAAAGATCCAGTTCCGATATTTCCAAATCAGTGAAGATCCGGGTTAGAACTGGTCTTCTTGTTTGTCCTACAGAGACAACTAACGGGATGGGGTGTCAGACTCCCTGACTTGGCTGAAGCATGTCATCGTATCCCAATTGCGTATGTCAATGCTCATGATATTAGTCACTAGACTGTATGGTCCAGACTCGGGTATTTACATAAATAAGAAACTAATTACAATCTGAAAGATTTTACAATGCTCGGTGATTGGTTCAAATGACATGACGTCTCACTGCTTCCTTGCTGAGACACGATATGACGTTACACATGTTCACGACGCCAGAGAGGTATTATATATACCTCATGTCGTCTTATGACAGACTGACAGTTAAGTGATCGGGATTTGAACCCACGGTTATGTCTCTGCTCTCCAGTTAGACGCAACTCTCCACTCTGGGGCACATTAGCGATTTAAGCTAACCACATTTAATAATAGCAGAATAGTTTGTAATTGAAGCTTTTAATGATAAAGGCGCTAGAAAACGTTCGATAAGAATGTTCATTTAATATAACCAAATTTTGTAGAGGCATATGTGGACACCCTTAAGTAACTTTCATTCGCATTTAGTGAAAGGAAAAATTCCATCTAAAACTCTCTCGTCTCTGAAAGCATGCACATGAAACGAAATGTAAATGCCAATGAACCACAATAAACCCATTAGAAACATCTGTATTGATCATGTGCTTAAAAAAGACAAACTGATTGAATAGAACCTGTGTGGATAACGAATATTGCTGTAACTCGCTTCCTTCTTCAGGATTCTAGTTCTTGATCAGGGTGAGGTCAAGGAGTTCGATTCTCCAGAGAAGCTTCTCCAGAAGCAAGGTTTGTTCTATCAGATGACACGTGATGCAGGAATCAACTCAAGAAGAATGCCCAATTCAAGTTGAACACTCAAGTGGAACACTAACACCATTAAAAGCTCATAACCCACCGTCCACGATGATGCATCTTTAAACGCTCTGTCATCTTTTTACGTTCTTGAAGATATCGCCGATTGTCATTAAACGCAGCAGATCCTAAGTAATAGTGATACTCTTCATATTGTTGATTATGTCCATGTATTATTCAATATGGATTTGAAATGTGTTTGTATGTTTGGCATAATATTGTGAAATGAATTTACAATATAATATTCGTGTGTCTCCGCTTTTTCCTAGACGTCTTTAAGTCAGTACTCCGTGTGTTGTGAGAGAACAGCAGATTGGTGTGCACACCCCAAATTTGTATCAAGAGGTCTTGTGGTCTGGTAGTGCACTGATGATGAATAAAATAAGACTTTGTCTTCTTCTTGTCTCTAATTTTTAATTTCTTTATTCATTTATATTTTGATTTCGGGAGTGGGGGTTTGTCGGAAGGAATAGCATTTTTTTATATGAGTATCAAAAAGAACTGAATGGTTCAAATTTCCGAACATGAACAATCTAACGGTCTTCAGTGACAAACTAAGAACGAAGTAACAAAAAGCATTTTCATGTTTTAACATTCATGGTGGTAAATTAGTTGAAGAATTGCGTTCAGTTTCTTTTTCCTAATCAGTATGGTGACCTCTTTATGAAAAATGTCAAAATAACACACATAATATTATTCTCGGATTTTTCAACAATAACCCAAACTACCTTTACATGAATTGGGATGCCCAGTGAATATGAATAACAAGTGGGTTCAACAGTTGGTATTCTCGAGTTCATGATAACACTATCAATGATAACATTGCATCACTGTCAATACATGAAGGTTACACGCAACCTTTGTCAGTGATAAATCAGTTGGATAATGAGTGATCAATCAGTTGGATAATGAGTGATAAATCAGTTGGATAATGAGAACATGCAAGAAAGGTCCATCTCAAACTTGCTTTGTTGAGTATAGGGTTCTTTTTTTTTATTTTTGCTTTTTAGTTTATGCTTCAGCACATGCGTAACGACATGCTTCAATCAAGGGCGACGCCTTGTTCGTTTGTAAAGAATGAAATCACAGTAGTATCCTTATGGTACCTTTCCGTAAATGGCTTCAGCGGGGTTTTCTTCCATTGCTTGTACTTCGATGATAAAAGAAACCACGTAAATGTCAGTTAACGGAACCATTTTCCAGGCCATCAGTGAAATTTTGATTCAAGCAGCAGAGGAAATTATGTTCATTACTTGTATACACATGGAAAAAGTATTGCAACACCTATGATTTTTAATCCCCATATAGCCATAGCCATTTATAGCCATGTCATGATTGTGTATATTTGTATGATAATTTAGACCCTTCGGGCGTACCATACATTGATTTTTAGATATGCACGTGATACGAAGGCGAACATCTTCCTCAAGTTTGAGTAAACATTTCTAACAGCTCGATGGCCATTAATCAATTGATTACGTTGCTGTTCAGGAAAATTGGAACCTCCACAACTGACAGCTGCTCAAAGATGGCACGTTATTGTTATGCATATTGCTACGGTTTAGAAATTGACGTGAGAGGTTTGTGACAGCCTGGTTCCCTGGGTCCGTTGTGCCTGCGCTACGCTCCGACACTGACCCAGGCAACCACCACCGCATGGCGGCCGGGACACAAGGAAAACCAACATGGCGGACAAAGTAAGTTAACATGGGGAAACGCTAGAACGGGTGGTTAGAATTTTTTCATAGCATTTTCATTACTACAGTTGCAATGTATGAGTTTCGAGAAGAAAGTCCATAGTTTTGGGGGGTGGAGGAAAGCAGTATTTAAGCTGATTCGAGACACGAAAATCGTCGTCACACCCACAAAATGTAAACAATGACACGCACCCCATTTCAACAGCAATATTTGCGTTAATATTTCGTGTCAGCTCGCTTTGGACACGAAATCGTGTTCATAAGACATCGAAGAGAACGACCACAGCCATAAAACATCGATAGAATCTTTAGTTTAGAAAATTTCAGCACACTAATGTCGCCGTTTTTGCCCAATGTACGCGTTGTATCAGATAGGTTTTGATACGTACACCCAGCCATGTGCAGTTGTACAAAGAACTTGACAGCAGTACTGATCAATATGTTTTGTCAGTCTTTTCACAGTTATTGCAAACCCGACAAAGAAAACCGGACACCATCGTTTATAGCAGCACCACCAGGCCTTTCTGACCATGGCTATATCAAGAAAAGGCCTCGGGGGTCTCCAACAGGTCATACACCTTATTCTAAGAGTAAGATAATAAGTAAGTAAGGTAAGTAATACTAATTAGCTAATATCAGTGAATTGATCGTGATTAAAATAGCTTATGAACATCTTATGGTGAAGAAAGTGCATATTTCGTCAGCTGATAAACCAGTAATTTATTTACATTTAATTAATTTCAGCATGTCTTGTGCATGAATACTCGCGTCATCATGCTCGGTGCATATCTTTGCAGAAACCCCAGGCAGAACATGGCCTCTCCACCAAGTCAAAATGGAGCGATGAAGAAATTAATGTCCTTCAGAAGCAAGCTGACCAAACGTCAGACCTTTCCACATCATTTTGGCAGAAGTGTGCCACGCTTCTAAATTCCAAATTTGGGTCAAACAGGACAAGTGAGTTCTTGCATTGTTTTTTTGAATTTATTATAATTACAACTTAAGTTAAAGGTTCAAATTGCGTGTGCTTTGTCAACAGTTGTGGTAGTAAAATCACATGTTATTATGATGTTTATTTATTATTTGGTAAGCAAATCAATTTGAATGACAGTTTTAAAAGATACAATCATCCGTGCTTTCCATGATGACAGTAACTGTTTATTCTTTACTCTTCCAGGTATGTCATGTCGTCTTCGATATCGGCGTTTAACTGTCAGTCAAGAAGAGTCAGGTGTCAACACATGGGATCTTGGTTGCAGCCCCCTAGTAACGACTACCCGAAGCATAGAGTGCCAGACTGAGCCAGTCATCCCAGTTGTCCTCCTTGACAGGTAAAAGTTTCTTCCATTTACTTATCACTTGAACATCATCACACAGTTGGGAACACTTGGTATTTCAACATATGAAACTGCAATCACATACACAAAATAGATCTTGTAGAACTAGAATAATGTAAAAAAAATTCTTATGAGTACATTGTGTACATACCACGCAAAAGATGTTAAAGAACACCGTCTTGGGATGGATTAACTATAGTCATGTCAAAGCATACAATGTTCTTTAACTGCTTTTGATTAATATGGTTGCAAATATTGTCAATACCTAAATTCTATCATATTTTGAATACCCTAACTGTGAGTGTGTTTATGTAAGTCAGATTTTGTTGTGTCTTAACAGAGCTCACATTGACATTTCTACTGAGGACACTCCGACTAAAGTCAAAGAGGACAGGTTTTTGGATTTATCACCACCTGCCAAATTACTTGAAGAAAAGGCCAGGCAGATATTTTCAAGAGGGAAGGATGCCGACATTGACGAGGCTTTTAAGGAGGAATTTCTGCGCCTTGTGTACAGCAACCAGTCAATCAGTTGTCCGGCTTAACATGTGTTTAATTATGATAAACTGAAGAAAGCAATTTGGACTTTGTTTCTTGATGAAATGACAGAAAGCTCAAGGGCAGCTTGTGAGAGAAGAAATAGTGTCTTGCTTCACAAGGCCTATGAAGCACTTGCTGCATTTAACTGGTCAGCAATCATAGAGGAAATAGTTAACTCCCATGAATTACTGGGTGATGTGCTTTTGGCCTACACCGTCACAAAGAAAAAACTATGTTCAAAGCTACACATGGAGTCTATGGTTAACATCCTTGGATTTGTGTATGGGTCCATGATGAAAGCAAGGTGGAAAGACCTGTCTCTTGTGCAGAGAGTAGTATCCATGGTCATGAAGGAGCAAAAGGTCCATCAAAAGGTGTCTGTTAAAATACATTTTGTTCACCTGTTCAAGTTTAAGTTTTGTTCTGTTGAAACCATTATGGAATGACAGATCCAAGTTTCAAGTGATGAGTGAGCCAATCATACATATTACGTTTCAGGAGTACAAGTACAAATATTTCTATGATAATGCTACTCATCCATGCCTTACTGATTGGGTCTACTTTGACTTGATGCTGTGTCTGTCATCTGTTTGCAAGTGTTTATGTTCTGCATGTGATTTCAACCAGACAAATTACCTTTGTTGTTTTACGGAAACTTTCAACTGAATTGTCCTTCATTTGTAAAAAATCTAATGAAATGAAATATGGACTGTTGAATAATTTTCTGTTTAAGTACACTATTATCAATGTTCTTTAGATCACATCTTTTAACTAGCAATCAAGAATAAGATAATTTCCAAGAAACGAGAAAGTGATTTAGTCTGGCATTTATATTATTTACAAATAAACTGCTCAAGGTAATGAATTTGTCACATTATTTTTAAAGCATATATCAAACAACAGGAAGATCATGATTTAAAAACATCATATCAGCATTGCTGACAGACATGATGTAATATTTGAAGATGAAAGCTGGATACTTTATATAATTATATTGTGAACCGTGTGAATAACGGTGACCACTATAAGATATTACTCACATATTGGACTATAAGGCCTGTAGTGTTGAGGTATGATGCCATTATCGGAGCATACACACTGTATCATGTAGAACATCCTGGGGATGCTGAAAAAGATCTGATACACAGTAATGCTTTTATTATAGCACTACATGTACATCCATACATACACACGGTGACGCCAACCGCCTCCGTGGTGCAGTGGTTAGAGCGTCCGCCCGGAGAGCGGAAGGTTGCGGGCTCGATCCCTGACCATGGATACCAAAAGACATTAAAATATGGTACTTGTTGGTCCCTGCCTGGTGCTCGGCATTAATGGGTACAACAAGGACTGGTCGGCTCGGAGTCAGTATAATGTGTTTACTGTGAGTGGGGTATTCATGCTTCACTGCAGCATGGTATCTCATTGGGCTAGCACTATAAAACCAGCTTACGTCTGGGCTAGTATACACACATACACATACACTGCATGCATGTCGGCATTTGAGCGAAATATTCTCAAGCACGACTTTAAACCCAATTTCACCTCACTTCACACAGTGACACCATTAGTGATTTTACTTTGACTTGGAGAACCTTCACTGGATTTATTGTTGACTAACAGTTTAATGTTCGTACTAACAAGTTCCAAAATATCTTTAGGTGAATGCAGTAATTATTGTTATTGTTTCTATTCAGGGCATGATGTTCACAAGGTTTGAATGTTTCGAGATTGTTAAGTTTTCTGTATGCCCAACAGAGATGGAATTTTCTCAGATGTCTGTCTGCTGGAAACACTATGGAGGTATTGTAAAAGGTGACAAGATATATTTTACATGTATTAATATCAAATTTGATTGAATTTAAGGATTAATTCTTATTTGTATGTGTTTCTTTTGTCAGAATGCATTATTTGAATTTCTATATCTAAACATTGCCTTCAAGTCGATATGTTCTTCAAAATAACTCATATAAAACAAATGATAAAATGTTAAGTAACTTTATTAAGTGATACCATTCATTAAGAAAAATTATCATGACATATAACCTTGCTTAATTATAAAGTCTCATATAAGTTACAAGTTGGAATATTTTCCATGCCCATCATTCCCCATATTATTCATTTATGGCAATAGGAAGATTGAAGCAAAGTGAATTTTATTAAAAGTTTGTTTGTTTTTTCACAACTCAGGTCTTTGATAAACTACAGCCCTTGGGAGTGTGTCTTTCACACATGGTTTCCTCAGGTGTCCAGGACATGATCAGTGGACACTTTCAGGACAAGCTGGTAAAGTGTATCAAAGAAGGAAAAAGATTTGTGGGGGATAATGTAAACTTTACGGTGGAAGTAAGTCATCTCCGGAAATCTGGTGAAAAAAAACCAAGCATGGCACACTGGTTTGGGTCTGCTGCAATCATCCAGGAGATTAGTTGCACTTCCCTTCCATCTGGTGCAGCACAACATGTCCTGTTCAATATGTCTGCAGAAGATTTTCTTCTTAACAAGCAGGACTGGGTAGAGATAAGAGATGACTACCTTACTCTAATACTGAGGGTTCTTACTACACATGTCCCAGCATTCAAATCTCTCAAGCAGATTGCCCCCGACATTATTGTTGGTGAAGAAGCTGACCACCTCAAAACAAAGCATACTGTTATTCCTCTGCGTGTGCTTCCAAAGAATGAACAAACTTACTCTAATGTTGTTGATGTTCTTGATCACTATGGGTCCTTGATTTCAGAAATGTATGGAAAAGCTGGACTTGATCTTGGTGAAAACTGTAGCATCCACATTGGAAGTGACCAGGTGACCCGTGAAAGATTCTCTGGAGCTAAAAGACTTAGGGCTTCAACTGACAATGATGCTGATCCAATGAACAAATTTCCACATTTGTCTCCAATAACTTTTGAACTGTTTCATTTGCAGATGACAGTCCTTGCGATGATGTATAAGGTCTTGTACAATGAAAAGAGTACTGAAACAGGTACACTTGGAGCTGAAAAGATCAGACTGGGACGTAAACGAGCGTGTGATGCAAAAAAAAACACTATATGGATTGCAGTGAACTGGCTGTTTCACTAACAGATGCATACATTGTAGAAGCTGCCTGTCACTACTTTGCTATGGATTCTGGGCAAGATAAACCAACAAAGCATCTTGATGGTGAACTGAGTTTGATGTCCGATGCAGAAAAAGCTGCCTGGGTTAAGGGGTCAGTTGGCAATATGGTCGACACTATGATTGCAGGACGCTAAACAACACATTGAGGAGAGTCTTGTTCAAGCTACCGACTCCACACAAATTCAGCAGGTGACTGTGATGATGCCAGATGGAACAAGTCATATTCTGCTTATACCGGCTTCTTCTGCAACAGAGAGCAAGTCTCCACAGGGTTTCCGAGATGATTATCAGTCCTATGCCAGGAATGTTCTTGAGATTGGCCTTCTCTTCAAGAACCTCTCAGATGCCATCAAATGTCCAGACAGGAACCGCATGATGAGGCTATTAAAATACACAATGATCATGTTAAAAGGTCAGAACAATCGGAGCAAATATGCACTGGAAATACTCAGATTTCTGTTTCATCAAATGGCTACACTGAGCAAACAGAGAGCTCATGAGGCTTTCTATGGGCTCTTTGTGAACACAAATGGAAAGTACAATTCTCACATTGCAGCTGATATGCTGATGGAACACATAGTGAAGCAGACAAAGAGTCACATCAAAGCTGTTCACTCTAACAAAACTGAGAAAACATTGATAAAGAGAACTGCTCCGTTTGCTGGCATTTGCACAATTTCTGAGAATTTTGATGAACAAACTGGTGTCGTAATCAGAGCAGAGAAGCACAAAATTCCATCATCTGTTAGGATGAAGAACTTTTGATAAAGAATCTTCGCAGGATCAAACCATTTCAGTGTCACCCTGGACGCCAAATCCAATCTGTATCAAGGTTGTCGAAGAGCCCTGTCTGCAACATGAAAAAAGGCAAAACTCATGACATGGATCAGAGAAAATCAACTTAACTACAGCCATGAGATTGGGAAGTAAATATGTGCAGTACCTGAAAGTTGACTTTAAATGTGGAGATCCTTATGTAGATATATAACTGAAGCAAACATTTACTGAAGGTGTGATTTGACTGTTGAACTTCATATTTGAAAACATTTATCATCCAGTGCATTTCAGGCATGGATAGAGAAAACTGTTATGGTTGCTTGTCTAAAACAATTGTGATTACCTCGTGGATATTGCTTTCACTTGCTTGATGATATTGTCCAGTGATTCAGCTATGTCCATATCAAGTTGAAATTCTTCAGCAAGGACATGTTTGTTGAAGACATCTGGAGCACTGATTATTTGTTGGATTGCAGATGTTGGAAGCTTTTCTCTTAGATACTGTGTTCCATCCTTTACTATGTAGTCAGTTAGCGTGTTCAGTAATAAGCTTTTGGTGTCTCTGGAGGAGGAAAACTGGTATGGTGTTGCTAGGTCAGGGTTATAGACATCACAACATACTTCAGCAGATATCTTTTTTTCATTACTGAAACCAAATGCTTCATTGACTTGCTGTCGTCTGCAAACAGATGTATTCTTGCATATTTCTTTCATGAGGCCGACCAATATCCGAGTTGTTGTAGAACAGTATGGCCTCTGACTGTTGTCCGGATCTCCCAGCACGCCCAATCTGCTGTACATAATCTGAAATGTATTTTAGAAATATACTTTTATTGAATATGCATAACAATAAAACAAATTATGTGAGATGCCATGCACAATATTAAACTCATTTTCAATCTTATGTAGAGTATGTTTATTATTTCTCCAGAGCACTTATGTTTACAATGTGAAAATGCACTGTAAAGTGCACCATGAAATTTGTACACAACACTTTGATCAACGCTTTTTGTGTGTCATCATACTTTCTAACCGCTTTGGTGGACCAATGTTGATCACCCTCCGGACATGTCGTAAGTCAGCTCCCATACCAAGAGCGATGGTCGCAAATACTATTTTCAGTGGACTGTTTGCTGGGTCCTCTGCAAGATTCTGCAGGATGATAGACTTTATCTGCATATAAGATAGGAAGTATGACATTATTTCAACCACCTTTTCGTATAACAGTATAATCTGTATAGTGGAGAACAGTATTTCAGGTTTTGAATGAAATTAAATTTCTCAACATACCTTATCCCCTGTTTTCTCCATTGAGGCATCTCCCAGCATTCTCTCTGCCAGCTCATATGACCGTCCCACCCAATCCTGACTGCCACTGAAGTACACAATGCTTAGTGGAAACATCTGACCTTTTACAAGGAGTTCTATCAACAGTGGCTTAATGACACATTCTATGTCATGTTGTACTGTTGATTCTGTTGGCCTTTTACACATGATTAGTGAGATGTTGTCTCTTGCTGGAGCCATGGATACAGATTCATAGTTCGTCATCACTAGTTTTTTGGCCACCTCATTCTGTCCCTGAAGAGAGAGGGTTGCACTTAGAGCTAGAACCTTGGCATTTGGAAGTAAGGCACGAAGTGTTCCAAGTTTGGCAAAAACAGGCCCGAAATCCTGGCCCCATTCCAAGACACAATGTGCCTCGTCTACAACAATAAAAGTTGTGGCCTCCTCTTGGAAATAATTATGTAGCAATATTTCTCTGACAGTATCATTGCCAATTATTTGCTCAGGGTGTGCAAACACAAACTGGTATTGCCCTTCAGTCCATCGTGTCTGCTCTGCACTGTTTGCAGTTAGTTCCCTATCATGCTCCTTGTTTAAACATGTTGCCCTTCTTCCCATTTTCTCCTTTTGTTGAGACAGAATAACATTCAGAGGAACAATGACAATGACAAATGCAGGTTTCTTTAGCAGGTATTCAATGACATCTGGGAGAATTTCATAGCAGAGTGATTTTCCATATCCTGTGGGTAACATCGCAATACAGTGTGATTTGTAAGAACCTTCTCTACGACCTCACGTTGAAGAATCCTCAGTTGATTGATTGCTTTACCTTGGTTATGGTTATACTTCATGAGGGCAAAGGCTATTGCATCATCCTGTGATAAAGAAAGTATAAACAAATGATGTATATATTTGTACCAAATTACTTCAACCATTTCAAAATGTCCTTTAAAATAGTTAGCATTCAATTTAACCCAAATATTTTTACAAGCACTGTCAACGTTCAAAAAGACTACACTTTAATTAATTATATCGTCTAAATATTTACACCTATTTATGATAAAGTTCACCATGAAATAAGACAATTAATGAAAATATATATTTCATTATTATGTTATATCTATACGTATATCCTATGAATAATTTCTTGAGGCCTTAGGCGTTTCACTGACACTCCAATAACGTTATACATCATTATTTGACGAGTAGCGAGTGTGTTTCTTAATTTATTATAATGGGCGGTCAGTGTTTATGCTGAACCCAGCATACAACAAAGGTGAAAACGTGGCAAAAACGGCGACATTAGTGTGCTGAAATTTTCTAAACTAAAGATTCTATCGATGTTTTATGGCTGTGGTCGTTCTCTTCGATGTCTTATGAACACGATTTCGTGTCCAAAGCGAGCTGACACGAAATATTAACGCAAATATTGCTGTTGAAATGGGGTGCGTGTCATTGTTTACATTTTGTGGGTGTGACGACGATTTTCGTGTCTCGAATCAGCTTAAATACTGCTTTCCTCCACCCCAAAAAAATATGGACTTTCTTCTCGAAACTCATTCATTGCAACTGTAGTAATGAAAATGCTATGAAAAAATTCTAACCACCCGTTCTAGCGTTTCCCCATGTTAACTTAACTTGTCCGCCATGTTGGTTTTCCTTGTGTCCCGGCCACCATGCGGTGGTGGTTGCCTGGGTCAGTGTCGGAGCGTAGCGCAGGCGCAACGGACCCAGGGAGCCAGGCTGGGTTTGTAAGTCCCCTTTGAACCAGCAAACATTGAACAGAGACAAGTCTAAAATATTCAATAATATATTGAGTAAACACTGAGCAAGGTGACAATGAATGACATTTCAGATTCCTTGTACAATACTACTGAGTCACAAATCTAAACTATTAACTACATGTCTGTAATTACTACTCTTGTAGTACTACTGATTGGAGATTTTTTGACATTAGTTGCGACGAGGAGAGCGAACGATGTTAGCAGATGAGCGTAAATCCAAAACAGTCCTCAAAGTCGTGTCGATCGTCTCGAAACCACCGTTTGTACATCCATTATACAGTTCTGGAGAAATCCAGCAAAATCTACCCCACAACACAATGATCGAGAAATTTCTCACAGCACCCGCCGGAAGCAAAACAAAGGGAAGCATAACAAAGAGGAGGTAACTCTGAGCGCAGCTCCTCAGGTCACTATCAACAGGCGGAAGTACACAGCTGTCAACAAACCACGTGATCAAAGGCACGTCATGTGACTCAGAGTTGATAAAGTCCACCAACTAGGAAGTGAGACGCAGAGAGACAACCTGTTCATAACGCTGTAGTTATAGAGGTATGTCAAGCATTTAGTGCACATTGTACAAATCTATAGATTACGTTTTGTATTAAGACCGTTGTTGTGATTGTTGAGGAAATTGCATGTGCGTTTGTGGGGTGCGAAAGGGGAGGGGATTGGTGATGAGGGTGGAATGTAGTCATCGAATGTGTATGTACTGTTACCTCATGACACTAAGTGATTTATTGCATGTTCTTATACAGGTTATACACACAGTTTGGGGAGAGGACTAACCTCATTAAGTAAAAAAAGACAATTAAGCATACTTTTTGTACATAGTTCTAAAAATAATGGCTGTTTGACCAAATGTATACATTAACAAGACATACCAAATTCTGCAAAAACAAACTAGTGCGTTTATATGTAATTTTGGTTAACCTGGGCGCACTTGCACAAAGCAATCCTAACACTACGATGAGAGTCTATGTTAGAGTATGGGAGTTTCAATCATCGCAGTGATAAGGTGCTGTGCCCAAGTGGCCCTGAGATGTTTAATCAGAGATCGGAGGTCACTACATGGCTGAGTGTGTGGTGGGTGAATATAAAGCAGCTGTTTAAATTTACTTTCAGTATAATTCTGCAAGAAATTAAAACAATTAAGTTTTCAAAGATAATAGCAGCGCCTTACAAATCAGAAAATGAATCAATATTGTGGTTTCATTTTGAAGTCAGTCAAATGTATTTTCTATCCATTATTCATTATTAAGATCGTTGTTTTTTTTAATTACGTATGTGGCCATTCATGTATCCAAACTCACCATCATTTCCACGCATGCTCAGTCGAGGTGCATTCCTGTCGATCGCTAATACATGAAAATACGACAACGAGAGTTATCTACCTTTCCCCATAGCTGCTCGGAAGTCCAAAGTCTGAACTGCAGTGAGGAGTCGTTGGTGAACAGCTATTTTTCTCCGTATACCTTAGTTGCAATTGGATGTTACGTCATCGTGTGAAGGGGTTGATACATTCATGTAAACTTTAATATGCGAGTTTGTAAATATTCTTGTTGTTTTGTGGCATAAACAAAATAATGATCCTTTCTACACCGGCAATAAGTACACTTATGTTTGTATTAATGGATATATACACAAATAACTCGATTAAGCACCCCCTGTATTTTTGCAATGATAGGTTTTCAACGCGTACATAAAACTTCTCGTGGTGACCCGATGGAAAAAACATGAGTTTTTCTGACCTGTATGATCCTTTGACTCATAAAAAGCTCAAAATGACTGGAATCCTTGTTGACTTTATGATGATTATTGCTCTTTATTTAGAAAAAACAACAACACTGATTTTCATACAAAACCATGTCTGTACAAGTATGAGCCTGGAATGTTTAATGTTCGATATGCCGTTGAATGTGAACATTCAAAATGTCAATTTGAAGTGTAACCTCAAGGTCAATACCGAGTGTAACCTGCATGCGACTGTATGACAGCCAGCAATCTCCTCCTCATACCCCTTGTCGGCATCCTGATCGTCTGAAGGGGCAGTCTATGCCATTCATCGTGTAAAGCAGCTTCCAAATAGGCCAGGTTTTGTACAGGAGGGTCCCTGTGTTGCACATGACGACCACTCATGTCCCAGATATGCTAAAAAGGGTTAAGATCGGGGCTCATTCAATCGTGAGATATATATCAGGGGGTGTTTAACTAAGGTCCTTGTGTTCCTTTATATGAACATCCCAGCTACCACTATCGCATACATACCACTGTATTAGTGCTACCATGTGCAGTGTTGAAACTCAGGTGCACGTGTCAATAATGTGGTGTAGGGCTGGGACGGTAACCCCCCATTACCCCTACATGCCACTACCCCTACAGCTTATAACAACATAGTTTACGGTCTGTTGCACTGTTAATCCACTGCCTGTTACCTATTCCACACAATGGACTAATCCACTTAAGAGACATAACAACACAGAGAGAGAATGATTTTAATGAAAAGTGATCATCATTTGTCATCATCAAGATTTTAATAAGAATTAACAATAATTCGTCATCATGTTTCTTTGATGGACGTTAACAATTAATTGTTAACATTCAATGGGACGGGTCCAAATTTTGTACCCGGGTACCCCACTCCCTATTACTCGACCCTACACGGATACCCGTTATGTTAATTCCTGACATCAAATTTGTAAGAAATGGCAATATATTCTTCAGCTCGGAAGCTAAAATTTCGAGTTTTTCAATATCTTAACCATATGTTACATTCAAAACATGCGACTGTAAATTATGTCTATAAATCTTCAAAGACAATACAACCTTTTAATAATGAAAGAATAACATGTTACATTGTTTAAACTGTTAGTCTCATGATCATAACGGGGTCCGGGTATTTAGACGGATCCAAATCATTACCCACCCTTCACGGGTTACCCGTCCCAACCCCAATGTGGTGCATCTGAACATGTGTGAATATGTACATGTAACTTCAAATGTTACGTCACGTTTTTTTTTATGAATGCATTACGAGAAAATACGTGACGTCAGCACAGAAAATGCAGTTAATTGTTTGCATTAGGTCTAGAAAATGGATACGAAAGGCTGCAGCACACTCTCAGAAATAGGTCAGTCAGCTATCACGACAGTGAAACATCTGCAGACAAGCGTAAAACATGACGAGATAACACATTGTGTCAGCTGATCAGCGCAGGAATGCCAGTTTATCAGCAGACAAAATGGCCGCTGTGATAGCACGTTCTCGTCGCCAAAAGCCCCAAACAACCCCTGGTGACGATTGCCAATAAGCATTTTGTCTACAGATTTACTCGCATTCCTTTGCTGATCTGCTGATGCAATGTGTAAACATACCTAACTGAGGTTTTACATAGCTGTATGGTTGCGTGTTTGGTGTTGAGTGAGTGACTTTAGGTTTACGCCGCAATCAGCAATATTCCAGCTATATGGCGGCGGTCTGTAAATAATCGAGTCTGGACCAGACATGCAGTGATCAGCAGCATGAGCATCGATCTACGCAATTGGGATACGTTGACATGTGTCAACCAAGTCAGTGTTAGTCGCCTCTTATGACAAGCATGGGTTACTGAAGACGAATTCTACCCCGGATCTTCCCGGGTCTGTTCGGCCTTGAAACATGACGAGATAAGACATTGTGTCAGCTGATCAGCACAGGAATGCCAGTTTATCTGTAGACAAAATGGACGCTATGGTGAGGCGTGGTCGTGGACGCTAACTGACGATCACGCACCTCCACGAGTCTCGGACGTCACTATCCTGTGATAGGTAGACTTAGTCTCTGAAAATGTAAAATTTTGATTGAAATTTCAGTCTTGACCTGTTTGGTAATCAGATCGTGATTTTGCCCGTCAACCCCACTATCCACTGAAAACTGATATCAGCCATTTCCTGCACAAACATATTCACTTTTACTGTGGCACTATACACTCTTAAAAAAATAAGATTTTGAGAATATTGGACTCATGTAGCTGCGGCCCAAACAATACAAATGTGCTATTTCTTTCCAAAGTAAATTGATTATAACCAGCTTCAGCTCAAAAAGCGGCAATTTTAACTTTACCCCTTGTTTTAGAAGCGTTTGATGTAATTTTCACCAAAACATCATCAAGAAAACATGCAAAGCAAAATGCACGTGCAACTAAGCGGAAAAGCATGCGGTATTGATCATTATAAAAAGGCAAATGTGTTTAATTTTGTCATTCGTTTTTGCCTGGAAAAGAGGAAATCATCATGCCACGACTGAGTGTCGCCAATCGAAAAATCGCCATAGGTCGCCTTAAAGCTGGGGAGTCGCGGTCTGCTTTTTATCAGAGCACCATATTTCGCGTTTGGGATCGTTTCCTGCGATCCAGTTCCGCCCAAGATCGCCCGAGAAGCGGCCGTCCAAGGGTTACCACCCAAGCCCAGGACCGCTACATCCGGGCTGCTTACTTGCGTCATCGTCTTGCCACAGCCGTGGACTCTGCACAAAGCATCCCTGGTTTGAGAAGAATTTCCAACCAAGCTGTCAGGAATCGATTGCGTGAAGTGGGGATTCAACCAAGAAGGCCAGTTGTCGCCCCTGTCTTGAGAGGCTTCTATCGGTGCAATCGCTTGCGGTTGTGTCGTAGAGTCAGGAACTGGAACCTTAGGAACTGGAGACGAACCTGGTTCAGTGATGAATCACGATTTCTTCTTTCCCAGCGAGATGGAAGACAGCGTGTTTACCGTCGGAGAAATGAACGTTTTCCCCTAATTGCATTCGACAGATTCGGTGAGGAAAGTGTCATGGTGTTGAATGCGATATCCAGCACACAAAGAAATCGGTACATCAAAGAAGTCCTTGCACATCACATGCTTCCGATTATGGACCGACAGAGGGAGTCGTTCCAGCATGGCCATCGCATTGCATGAAGAGTGGGGAAGAATTCCGCAAGAGCGGAATGTTTGATATTTCACATTTTTTACCATTGAAATTACATAACATCTTGCTCTTAAACTAACGCAATAAATTCTTCTAAAATGACTTTTACGTTTCTTTTTTTTTGAAGATTCTAGATTCTTACATCGTTATCAAGCTAAAAGTGACTGCAACTAGGTGATGAGAAGTATAGATGGATAGATAGATAGACAGGCAGGCAGGCAGACAGACAGACAAACAGACAGATAGATAGATAGAAATTAAAGTGACTGCAACTAGGTGATACGAATAGATAGGCAGACAGACAGCCACAGACAGACAGACAGATAGATATATAGAGAAAGTGACTGCAACTAGGTGATAAGTATAGATAGACAGACAGACAGATAGATATACTTTATTTCCTCCATTGCCACGAATATATGTTATGATAAACAGCAGATTAACATTAACAACAGCGTGTAATGGAATTATAATTGAATCAGTAGCACATAATTGCGCAGGTGATGAACCACTAAGCAGAAGGGACTAAGTAGAATCAAGCTGATACGGTGCTATGATAGAGTCTTTGGCTTGGGTAATTCTTCGTACTCCGTTGACATGTAGTACCCTTGGCTTCTGTTGATCAAAGGCTTCCAATGGCGACAATCGATGGCTTTCCTTTCGTGAAGTCCTGATTAATGCTGGATAGGATTAAATGGATAGGGAATTTGTGTTGGTGATCTGAGAGGGCTGATTTGCTGTTTGGCAGTGGATACATAATAAATAGACAGTACCCAGTCAGTGCTACGATGTAAGATGCCCCGTGTCTCTGCGGTCACAGACGTTACTGACATCCAGTATTGTGACAAATACTGATGATTTTCGTCATTCTTGTTGAAAACTGACTTTCATCCTTTATCTCCACCCATATGTTTATTTAAAGTATATTGTGTATCTGTGTACTTCAGATGGCGACCACCAAGAACTGACAGACAACCAGCTCACCTGTGCCATCTGGCAGGTGTTCACAGACCCTGCCACACTTCACTGTAATCACACATTCTGTAAGTCCTGTCTGCTGAAATACACCAACACACAGCCTGAAGCAGTACGAGCCAAGTCCATCCCATGTCCCTCCTGTAGACAACCGAAGAAGGTGACCATCCCTGACAGTCCAGTGGAGGAGTGGGTCAGTCAGCTGAAACCAAGCCACGTCATACAGGGACTGATGGACGACTTTTAGACCAGGAACAGAAGGTAACTTATCAATAGGTTCATGTTCAATTAGCATATCATGTAAAATATATGAATGAATAATTAGCCCCATGAATGTGGAAATAGTAGTGACGAAAAACACTCGATTGTTTCTGGACCAGGTCATACAGCTGTAATAATGCAGCGTAAAAAACAAACATTCTCATGATTTAGTCACAATTGTACAATCGACTCTGATTGCTTACGAAATGGAAAGGGTTTCTTCAAACAGAATTCGTTTGTCCAGATGTATCATGAACATTTTGTTGAGTTTATTTTATTAAAAAAATTAAATAAATTCAATCTGCAACCTTTAAGCCTCTGTTAGCAAACACTTATCTTTTTCTCTGCACCAAAGACACTATGATACCAAGATATTTCAAAATAATAATGAATATGTTATTATATTCAGCACAAAAACCTGGGTGATATTTGTCATAACAGACTGCTGTAAATATATCTGCTGTTTGTTATTAAGGTCTCCGATGTAAATGTCCTTGCTATTTGTTGTTACTCATGCTGGTGTAAACGTCTAACGTGTTTGTTATTACAGCTGGCGATGTTAATAACTGCAGTGTTTGCCCAGCGACAGAAAGGGTTGTATTCACACACGACATGGACAAGCTGAGTAAAGAAGTGGATGAGCTACAGCTAGGGGAGGTTGAAGTTGTCCGTGGTGTAAGTGACCACCAGTCTACCCCTGTTCTACATCACAATATTGACTGTCAGGCAAATGATGGGGTTTCTCGTTTGTATGACGTCACATTGTTGACTGTTGAGGGTATAAAAGTAACAGTAGTTGCAGATTACTTTAATAAGAGAGTCAAAACGTTTCCCACATCAAACACAAATACGCATGGCAATCATCTACTACTTTCCAATAGGCCTTGGCAAATTGCAAAGTTAAGTGAGAGTCGGATAGCTGTCTGTGTTCCAGACAGTAGGGAAATAGTTACAGTGGATGTTACTCCACATCCTGTATTGCTGTCAACTATCAAAACAAGAAAAACGTACTACGCTCTGGCCTGTCTGACTCCTTCACAGCTGGTGGCAGGTACAAACCTACAGTCTCACTCTGTGGACATACTGGACATGACAGGGAGGATACTGAAGTCTATCAACACGGGTGTCATAAAGAATCCAGACTATATCCATGTCACCAGAAATAACAACTTGATAGTCAGTGAAGGATTAATAGACTCCCTCGTATCTGTGACCAGTGAAGGAGAAGCTGTTTTCACCTACACTCCCACAGGGGACAGAGCTTTGAAACGACCACAGGGTATCACAACAACCAGCACAGGAGATATTCTGCTTGTAGACCGCATCTCTCGCAAGGTGATTCAGCTGACCGGGTCGGGTCAGTTTGTCAGAGATGTCCTCACACAACAGGATGGTCTGGAATCTCCTCGTGGTATCTGTCTTGATGGGGACGGGTTTCTGTATGTTACATGTAAGCATTGTGTCAGAGTATTCATATTTAAATGAAAGATGCGTGTACATGCTTAGAATCCGTGCCGAGTTTAATGACAAGAAAACATTCTAGCGTCAAAGAGCACCGTTCACCATTTTTCGAAAGTAAGTCCCAAAATTAATACATTCATCAAATATTGGAACAGGCTGTCACAGAGAGAAACCCCAGTTCCTGGCCCTACGTAGTATACATAATTGAAGGATGACCTGCTGTAATAGAACTGTACCACATGACCACTTCTTTTCAAATACCGTGTTTGGATTATATAGTCAGTCAGATATGTCTGTCTATGAGCAGTAACATACTAACAGAAAACAGAGCGTGGCGGATTTCATGTTATTGCTAGGCCTGTCAATCACAATCGCGGGAATTTCACCAGGTTTCCAAAATAATTTCTTATAATATACTGTCGGTTTGTTAAATCATACTGTTGCTTATAGTGGACGCTTTCATGAGTGAATTATTTGGGATTGAATTTTTGTTTGTTTGTTGTTTAACGCCACACACAGCAATATTCCAGCTATACGGCGGCGGTCTGTAAGTAAATAAGCAAGTAATCGAGTCTGGACCAAACAATCCAGTGATCAACACCATGAGCATCGCTCTACGCAATTGGGATCCCGTTAGCCGCCTCTTACCACAGTCATGGGTTGCTGAAGACTGTTTCTAACCCTATCACACGTTTGTTCTATTCTTGGTAGCACTATTCCTGCTTCTTGGTGGTGGCGTGTAAACCGTAATACTATAATCGACCATATAATCAAATGATTGATATTAAGAGCAATGACTGAGGACTACAATGATCAAGGATATCATAGACACAGACCACTTGCTGCACAATGTCGTAACTTGCTACACACAGGTTGGTGGGAGCATATCTATCCTGAATCCAAGTGTGGCCTTGATTAAAAATGGAGGAAAAACAACATGAAATGAAACTATATGTTTAAAGCGTATCTCGTTAGTGTTTTTGTATCTGTTAATGAGACAAGGGACGAGACAATGTAGAATCGTAACAATGTTTACCAAACCAAAGTAACATTAAACATATTACACAGTGGGCTGCTGTTTTGAGTATTATTCAGCATGCGGCAGCTTAATAAGGGAAAAGTGGCAGTGGGGTTGCCAAGTGGTTAAAGCGTTCGCTCGTCACGCCGAAGACCCGGTCAGGTTCTTTCTCACTCACTCACTCATTCACTCACTCAGTGTGGGAAAGTGGTTAGGGCGATCACCAAGGAAGTGACACGACTCATCGAAAAGAAAACACGTCGAGGCCATTAAAATGAAATAGGTTAGGACCAAAGGGAGGTTAAAAATACAGAGAAGAAACTGTTGGGTCGGGTCCGATCAGCGTGAGGTATTTATACCAGCCCGGTGAACTCGAGGGAGGGGATAGACTTCGTGCCACGGACCCCGTGTGGTCCATGAAAACGGATCATATTGATCGAGTGGATATCAGAGAAGACGAACCCCATTTGTATTTTCTTAAAGACGAGCAGAGGATTCGTACCAGAGGAATTGCTCGTCGTACCCCACGACACGGTATTACCTATTTATTAAAAATTTGAACCATTTACAGTATATTATCATCATGTGGAAATTGATCGAGAAACGGTTGTGCAATCACGTCTGGGTGAACGTCAATGGACTCGATATTTATTCACCCTTACGCCGAGTGATTAGTCGAGGTCAATTCACCACCCTTTCTGATAGTTTAGGTTTGGTCGGCAGCGAATGGTTACAACTTCTCATTGATGCTTTAGTCGATTATAGTATCAATATCCGACATCGCCCTAACTCTTATTCAACCTATTCCTTAGCCGACTTTGATGAATTTATGACAAAAACCCCATCCATAACAACATCGCTAACTATTTATATTACAGAAAGAAAAGTACCAAAATGTTTTTGGTGTAAAAATAGAGCGAATGAATTAGACATTTGACTTTGCAAGTGTATAAAACAACCTTTTAGACATTTGACTTTGCAAGTGGATATAACAAATCAATTTAACTTTACATGTGTATTAAAAATGGAAGTGCCAGTTCCTCCTTTCGAAGACATGCGAAAAACATTGGACATTCTGGAGGGAAATTACACCTTTCGAAAGTTGCCGCAACGAAACACACAGACCAACTGGATGAATTGAATGGATTAGTTTTGTTTGTGGATATGCCCAATGAATCATTTGCGATGAATCGTTTCGCAATATGAACATCATTGAGTTTTTTACGCTGGTGGGCTAATAGCCCGTGGGGGAATAAACCATTTGTGTTTCAATTGGAACACCTTTGCTGCTCCCCTTGGACGGAAAAGGAAGACGATCGTCACGTCATGCTATGCTTTCCGAGACGCGATGAGTAAAAAAAATATGTGAAAATAAAGCATAAAATATATATACAAAATAAAAAACTAAATTTTTTTTGGTGTTAAACAACGATGCTCCACGGACAAACAACAACCCTTTCTAACCATTCAGGGAAGCTAAATTAACCATAAATAAACGTCTCAGTGGAACTGTGGTCGTACCCCCCTATCATGTATACCACTAAACCAAATACGTATGGTATTCACCTGATACTTCCACTGGTCCTTTGCAAATAGCTCTTGCCTGTCTGAGTCCTTCACAGCTGGTGGCAGGTACAAACCTACAGTCTCAGTCTGAAATATCCACAGGGTATCACAACAACCAGCACATACATAGATAGATACATACGTCACACACACACTAACACACACTAACACACACACACACACACACACACACACACACATATATATATATATACATACATACATACATACATTTGTATAGCACCGATACCCAGCTTGTAGACCGGGAGTCCCAGAAGGTGATTCAGCTGACAGAGTCAGGGCAGTTTGTCAGAGATGTCCTCACACAACAGGATGGTCTGGAATATCCTCGCGGTATCTGTCTTGATGGGGACAGGTTTCTGTATGTTACATGTGAACGATATGTCAGAGTATTCAGATTTAAATGAAAGGTATCAGATGTTAATGAAAGATGCGTTTACAAAGTGAGAGTGAGGGTTTAAGGCCCGTACCGAAAATATTCAAGCGTCAAAGAGTACCTTTAACCATTAACTCCCAAAAGTAAAACATTGATCAACTATGGGACAGGTTCTCATGGACAGAAGCCCCGGCTCGTGGCTCTATGTAATTCAGTGTTGCAGGATGACCTGCTGTAATAGAACCATGGCACATGTCAGCTGACCAAGAACTAAGGTATTGTCTGTGTATGAATATCTTTTCAAATACACGTTCTTGAAATAAACTCTGTCAAAAAAGAAACGCAACCCCTGTATTTTAGAGATTTTGATCTGAAGTTTTAAGACGACACAGCATTTTTATTATTTAAGACAGAAGTCTGAAATTTGGCAGAATAATAACCAAGATGGGCATGTTTAAAATTGTCATTTCAAAAGTCATCTCACAGACACCAGTTTGTCACCAGGGGGGCGTCTTTCTCAGTATCTCGTATGAGCACCACGAGCTGCAATCACTGCACGGCATCTCCTTGGACAAGAACGGATAAGACGCCGGATTCTTTCCTGGGGAATGGCTCTCCACTCCTCCTGCGTTGCACGTGCAGTATGAGGCCGGGCGTTGTCTGGTTGAAAAATCTGTGTCTGTTGGTCAATAATCGGGAGAAGGTGAGGCTGTAATACGTGGTTGATGTAACGTTGGGCTGTCAGGTTCCCTTCAACGATCACCAAGTCTGATTTCTGGTTGTATGAGATGGATCCCCAAACCATAACGCTTTCTCCGCCAAATCTGTCCCCCTGTCGGACGCAGATGGGCGCAAAACGTTCATGACGTCTCCTATACACACGTTTTCTTCCGTCGTGATGTTGCAAAGGAAAACAGGATTCATCAAAGAAAACCAGATGCGCCTCCAGTTTTGTAAAGTCCATATCCTTACGTTGTTGCACCACCTGGAGTCGTCGGCGGAGATGCTTAGGGGGCGTAGTACAGGTCCAACAACTGGTCTACAGGCACGTAAAACCCGCTTCTTTCAGACGGTTCCTAATCGTTTGAGCTGACACTCTCCTCAAACCTGGTATTTGTGTGCTTAGCAGTCACGGTTGGTAGGGCATGCCGATTACGCAGGTGATGGACCCGGATGTACCGATCTTGAAGGGGGTCGTGATTCTTGGCCTTCCACTTCTCGGGCGATCGTTAGTCAAATTGAAGTTGTTGTAGCGGCTCCAAAGTCGGGATATCGTTGTTTTGTGAACATTTAGGTGCCGTGCAACAGTTCCAAAACTTTCTCCGGCTCGAACACGACCAATGGCGATATTTCGGTCAGCAGCACTCAATCGTGGCATTTTTCACACAGCTTTTCATGCGACAAATGAATGAATATAATACGAAAGCACATACGGGCTTTTTATACACCCCTACATTAACTGCCATTTCGCATGAGTTGCATGTGTTTTTTTGTGCGAAGTCACCATGAGGGTCATTTCATGCGTTGTGGCGGAATAAGCAATAAAATACACTTATGCGTACAAATGCAGTTGTTTGGATGAAAGTAATCTTCATTAATTACGTGTATCAATTTCAATACATTCGAATAACATTTAGTTTGGAAGCAATAACTTCATTTCAAACGAATTTTTCATATCTGAGGACAGGGTTTGCGTTTCTTTTTGATAGAGTTTATGTTTGGAATGTATAGTCAGTCAGATATATCTGCCGATGAGCATTAACATACGAACAGAAACAGAGTGTCAGACAGAATGTCATTGCTAGGCCTGTCTATCACAATCGCGGCAACTTCTCCAGGATTCCAAATTAATTTATTTTAATTTACTGTTGCTTTGTTAAACCCCTCCTGTTGCTTAAAAGAAATCGAACAAATATATAACCTGAATACACGAAAGCCGAAGAAATCCATCTGAAAAACAATGTCCTGGCCTCTGGCACCATCGTTCTTTTCCTTGTTCAATCAAACCCCTGCCATGCCGACCATATCTGGCCCGCCAGCGCTTCCGGCGCCGTTTGCTCCGGTACGCGACGCCTGATTGCTTTGGTGCTCATTACCAGTTCGTTACTTTGTTTTAGGGCGTTACCTTCGCAGCGCAACCGACTCTGCCGATGAGGACTCCAGCAGGAGTCATGGTTACGAAACATATTTTATTGTTTATGACTGAACATTTTGAAGTTCGCAACGCCGCCAGAGATGCATCGCGTCGTAGCACCAAACCGGTTCTTCAACCCGCCCGAGGAATTTGATCCTCCTTGACGGCCCGTCAAGTCCATCCCATGTCGTTATAGCGCAATTTGCCGACCTGCCCACCTTGTAATCGAATCATCTTCAAACCGCCCAACCCGCCGCAGCAGACGGTGAACACTGTCGATAATAAATACGCACAAGGAAGGAAGGAAGGAATGGAAGGAAGGAATGGAATGGAAGAAAATGGAAGGAAGGAAGGAAGAAGGAAGGAAGGAAGAAGGAATGGAAGGAAGGAAGGAAGGAAGGAAGAAAGAAAGGAAGGAAAGGAAGGAAGGAAATGAATGAATGGAAATGGATGGAATGGAAATGAATGAAATGGAATGGAATGGAAGGAAGGAAGGAAATGGAGGATGGAATGGAAGGAAGGAATGGAAGGGAAGAATGGAAGGAAGGAAGGAAGGAATGGAATGGAAGGAATGGAAGGAAGGAAGGGAAAGAATGGAATGGGTCATTCATATATTTTTCAGCGAATTCATTTAATATTCCACTTTGGGGTATGACAGCAAGGTTACACGAATGTTCAGTTTGAGAAATATTTTAAGGTCATTTTGAGTTTCTGCTTTGGGATTTAATGTAGCTTTTATAAATTGTATTTACATACTTAATAAAATAAGTCCCAATGGTGATTATCAAATCCTATTTAGAAATATATTTGGAAATATAAGGTGAACATCTGATAATAATTACGTGAGAATAAGTCTGTAACAAATAAGTTTTTCCCCTTCTTTTAGTTGTATCAAAAAGGTTTAATTCTTAAAAAAACACAAACAGCATTGCAATGTATGAATACTTCGGTGATATTAAGTACCATTGGAATCAAACAAGAATTGAGTTATCGTTCCTGTTTAAAGTAGTTCCCAAGCTGTTCATGCGCCAATATGAAATCCTCCCAGAGGGGGCACGAGTCGCTATTTGGCTTGTCCCGGAATAATACGAGTTGGTCACGAATGCCCCCCAGGATGCCTTTTACTACACAGTATTTGTGAAATCAACATTAACTGACATTGAACAAGGCAAGCAAGCAAAATACACAAGGCATCCATGCGTGACCAACTCGTGTTATTCCGGGACAAGCTGAATATCTTCTTGGAGGTTACGGAAAGAGGCGAGTGGTGACGAATGACAAGGCATCGTGGCAGTAGACATCGTTTACTTCCAGAGTTGTGTCCCTTTACGAAACAAGCCTGATAGACTTGCATGGACCAGGTCAGCCAGCGACATACGAGGAGAGGGGGGGGCAGGGGCGTGTGTGTGTGTTGGGAGGGGTCGGTAGGTATGTCTATTTATAGACACTAAACGCCAAAAGAAACGTTACCTTCCTTCCTTAATGAATTACTGAAAAACTAAATGCATCTTTTCAGAAGAGATAAATTGTCCTACTTTCGACCATGCCGAAACAAACCAAAAACAGTGATCTAGATGTCCCCAGAAAGGTTGAAATACAATTCTGCTTTGAGCCAAAGATAAACCATTCAAAGCCACCATTTCTCAACTATTAAAACAAGAAACAACTGTTGTAGAGTGTGTAAAATTGTAAAAGAATTATTCCTATGATTTCAGTCTTTTAACACATTTTGTGCTGAGATTAGTATTAGTGAAAAACAAGTAAAACGTATCTTTGAGATTGTGAAAAAGTGTTTAGGAACATCTACAATTATCTTTGTTAACATTTATGCTTGCAAAGTAACATTTTTCCATTTTCTGTTAACACATAGCAATATCAATCGCCTAAACGTAGCAATATTAAAACAGTATGTGCATAAATTTCACGTGTGGAATGATTCTATAGGGTACAAAGAGAGACTAGAATGCATGATATGATATACAAGTGCGAGAAATATGCCACGATTAACAGCTGAAGAGAGAGAAAGAGCCATTGGGATGGTTCAGATGGGGTCGACATACAATGCTGTTGCCAACGTCCTCGGATGCTACCGTATCACAGTTACAAGAAACACAATCGGCCACTTTCAACACAGTTGTACCTCATTTGTCACCACTCGCCTCTTTCCGCCTCTTTCCAAGAAGACTCGTCCCCCTCCCGATGCTTGTTATGTGCGAAAATACGACAAACCAATCAGAACGCGGTGCTTTGGTAAAAATAATCCTGAGTACTTAAATCGATTATGGCATTATGGCATTGTTTAAATAATCAGAAAAAATATATATCGTCATATTGAAAGTACAAAGAACTGAGCTAACAGGATTTTGCTGCCTATTATGAAGTTTTCGATAAGAATCATGCGATTGACGGTGAGAGATTCAAATACACGCACGTGCGTGTGTTGACAAAACGGCTCTCATGGGTCCAACTGAGGGTATTTCTGACGATATTGCGGGCTTGCTATATGGAGATTGTAATGTGCGCTTCCCAACATTTTCGGAAAAGTAATTCTAAATCGCTTCGAGTTTCAAAACAATAATATTAAACATATATCTGCATGTAACTGATCAACTTTAACCTTTAACATTGGGCATAGATTCTATATTTCTCATCTCCGGGAATATTTTAGTCTGACATTTTTTTTGGTCATTCATATATTTTTCAGCGAATTCATTTAATATTCCACTTGGGGTATGACAGCAAGGTTACACGAATGTTCAGTTTGAGAAATATTTTAAGGTCATTTTTGAGTTTCTGCTTTGGGATTTAATGTAGCTTTTATAAATTGTATTTACATACTTAATAAAACAAGTCCCAATGGTGATTATCAAATCCTATTTAGAAATATATTTGGAAATATAAGGTGAACATCTGATAATAATTACGTGAGAATAAGTCTGTAACAAATAAGTTTTCCCCTTCTTTTAGTTGTATCAAAAAGGTTTAATTCTTAAAAAAACACAAACAGCACTGCAATGTATGAATACTTCGGTGATATTAAGTACCATTGGAATCAAACAAGAATTGAGTTATCGTTCCTGTTTAAAGTAGTTCTGATGTTCATGCGCCAATATGAAATCCTCCCAGAGGGGCACGAGTCGCTATTTGGCTTGTCCCGGAATAATACGAGTTGGTCACGAATGCCCCCCAGGATGCCTTACTACACAGTATTTGTGAAATCAACATTAACTGACATTGAACAAGGCAAGCAAGCAAAAATACACAAGGCATCCATGCGTGACCAACTCGTGTTATTCCGGGACAAGCCGAATATCTTCTTGGAGGTTACGGAAAGAGGCGAGTGGTGACGAATGACAAGGCATCGTGGCAGTAGACACGTTTACATCAGAGTTGTGTCCCTTTACGAAACAAGCCCGATAGACTTGCATGGACCAGGTCAGCCAGCGACATACGAGGAGAGGGGGTGGGGGCAGGGGCGTGTGTGTTGGGGAGGGTCGGTAGGTATGTCTATTTATAGACACTAAACGCCAAAAGAAACGTTACCTTCCTTCCTTAATGAATTACTGAAAAACTAAATGCATCTTTTTCAGAAGAGATAAATTGTCCTACTTTCGACCATGCCGAAACAAACCAAAAACAGTGATCTAGATGTCCCCAGAAAGGTTGAAATACAATTCTGCTTTGAGCCAAAGATAAACCATTCAAAGCCACCATTTCTCAACTATTAAAACAAGAAACAACTGTTGTAGAGTGTGTAAAATTGTAAAAGAATTATTCCTATGATTTCAGTCTTTTAACACATTTTGTGCTGATTAGTATTAGTGAAAACAAGTAAAACGTATCTTTGAGATTGTGAAAAAGTGTTTAGGAACATCTACAATTATCTTTGTTAACATTTATGCTTGCAAAGTAACATTTTTCCATTTTCTGTTAACACATAGCAATATCAATCGCCTAAACGTAGCAATATTAAAACAGTATGTGCATAAATTTCACGTGTGGAATGATTCTATAGGGTACAAAGAGAGACTAGAATGCATGATATGATATACAAGTGCGAGAAATATGCCACGATTAACAGCTGAAGAGAGAGAAAAGAGCCATTGGGATGGTTCAGATGGGGTCGACATACAATGCTGTTGCCAACGCCCTCGGATGCTACCGTATCACAGTTATAAGACTTATTCAGCGCTACAGACAGACTAGGGTCACCGTAGACAGATCAAGAAATGGACGTCCACGCATCACAACGCCAGTTGAAAATAGTTACAAATTCATTTAGTAGGAGGGTAACGTTTCTTTTGGCGTTTAGTATATATATGGATATGGGGAATTACACCTGGATGGGGAATGTGGTTTCGTTTATGTCTGACGTTACAAACATACATTCGGATGTTAACATTCACTACTTTCATTGTAAACGTCCCTAACATTCCTGGTATTTGTCGAGGATTACCCTATGTACTTAATTACCATCTACAAACTTTTGTGTAATATATTCCTTATAATAGCGAATACACGAGGATATATCTTAATCAGATTAAAACTTGATGAGGGTGCTCTGCTTGAACATCATACTATACTAAACACACCAACTGTATGCCTTTGATCCCACAGAGTACAACACATACGTGAAGTCCCGTACACCACACTACTGACACGTGTTACTCATTGTATAGTAATGTAAGTAATGAAAGATGATCTTGAACGTTTTGTAGTCGCACCTTATAGATTGAAATCTTATACTGAATCACCTTTTTTCTTTTAGTTTCGGTTAGACCTCACTCATATGTATTTTCTATCCATGCTTTATGATTAAAACAGTTGTTCCTTAAGCAGTATTTATGTACGTATTCTGATATCCCTTAAAGGACACAGCATGATTTTCATGTCTATCCTGTTATTTCACTCAACAGGGTATGAGAGGTAAATGTATACATCGTACGAGAGGTAAAATGGCTAAAGTAACCAGAGTTATCTCCCTTTTCCAAAACTGTTACGTCCTATGACAACTCTCTGCGCATGCCTAATTTAGGTTACTTTGCTGTACGATGGGCTTGATGCATTCATGTAAAATTTTAAATGAAAGATTTGTAAATTTCGTTACATTAGGGAATGAACAAAATACATATCCTTCCTGCATTCACAATAAGTGCGACCGCCTCCGTGGTGTAGTGATTAGAGCGTCCGCCCGGAGAGCGGAAGGTCGCGGGTTCGACCCCCGACCGCGTCATACCAAAGACGTCAAAATTGGTACTTGTTTGTCCCTGCCTGGTGCTCGGCATTAATTGGTACAACAAGGACTGGTCGGCTCGGAATCATGGTGAGCTAGCACTATCAAACCAGCTTCAGTCTGGGCTAGTGCAAGAAGCCGCACATACACATACATACGCATGCACGTCGTCATATGAGCGAAATATTCTCAAGCACGACGTTAAACCCACTTTCATGCCACCTCACCTCACCTCACCTCACCTCACACTCACCTCACCTCACCTCACCTTACAACAAGTGCATTTACGTATGTACTGATGGATAAACACAAAGGACGAGGCGTATAATGTTTGGTCCTATCTATCTGTACATACATAATTGAGATGGTAGATCACTGTATGGTTGCGTGACCTGGTCGGGAAACATGACGAGATAGCACATTGTGTCAGCTGATCAGTACAAGAATGACAGTAATCTTAGGACGTGGCGGTGGACGCAAAGTGAGGATAGGGTATTTGTGTTGATGATCTGAGAGTTCTGATTTGCTGGGTGCATGGGCAATACCCAGTCAGTGCCATGAAATAAGTTGGCCCGTGTTTCTTTGGTCACAGACGTTACTGACATTTGGTATTGTGACAAATACTGATGGTTTTCCTCATTCTAGTTGAAAACTGACTCTGACTAAACTAAAGTATCTGTGTACTTCAGATGGCGACCGCCAAGAAACTGACAGACAACCACCTCACCTGTGTCATCTGTACGGAGGTGTTCACAGACCCTGCCACACTTCAGTGTAATCACACATTCTGTAAGTCTTGTCTGTTGAAATACACCAACACACAGCCTGAAGCAATACAAGCCAAGTCCATCCCATGTCCCTCCTGTAGACAACTGACGAAGGTGACCACCCCTGACAGTCCAGTAGAGGAGTGGGTCAGTCAGCTGAAACCAAGCCACGTCATACAGGGGCTGATGGACGACTTTGGACCAGGGACAGAAGGTAACTAATCTGTCCAATAGCATATTATGGAATGGATACACTGGACAATAGCAGTGGCGAAAAACACTTCCAGATGTTTCCAGACTGCACCGTACAGCTGTCATACTGCTGAATGCAGTGCCAAACACGTGATTCACACGATAAACGATACTCAGGATTTAGTCACAACTGTACAATCGACTCAGCTTTTAGCAGAGCTTTCACATGAAATGGAAAAGGGTTTTGTCGCCAAAAACTATTTGGATAACCTCAGGGACCATCCACAATTTATGGCTAAAAAGTGGGAGGATTTAAAAGGGGGTCAGCAATTGTGTCCATAAATGCGGGCGGGGGCATTGATTTTGTACATGACACGCATGGGGGTCACTTGCTTTGTGTATAAATTTTGGTAGGGGATGGGGGTGGGGTGAATGTCATTCACATTCTACTTGCTATTCCATAAAAATCATCATCACCCCGTAGCCATAAATTATGCATGGTCCCTTATTGTGTTTCTTCAAACACAATTCTCGTTTCTTTTTCAAACACAATTCGTTACTCCAGATATATTAAGAATACTTTGTTTAGTTTATTTCTAAATACCTTCGTAATAAAGTTCAGTCTACAACCTTAAAGCTTCTATCAGCAGACACGTATCCTTTCTCTGCAACAAACACAGTTTAATACGAAGAAATTTGAAGTTATTCATGTATGTACCAGCAGGGCTCCAGATAAGGGCGGTATCGGCGTATGTATGGATAAAAATATGCCCGATGCGGTAGGAAATAAATTAGAAAACGAAGCAGATACGCACCACAGCAACGGTGTGGGTCTTAGAATCATTTACAGACGTACTTATCTGAAAAGTATTGTTTTATTGTTTATTGACGTGTTTACACAAGACTAGCAATGTTGTGGTGCATATATGAAACAAAACACAACATTATCGATACGCCATTCAATTCCATTCAGTTCTCTAAATGTACTCTTAAGTTTTTCCAGTACTCATATATTGCAAAAAAATAAGGAGTACGTACTCTTGATGTTGAAAAATTACCTGGAGCCGTGTGCCAGCACAAAAACCTGGCTGATATGACCGCTGTTTGTAATTGCGGTCTCTAGTGTAAATGTCCTTGCTGTTTCTTGTTACTGATGCCAATAGATCGAATGTGTTTGTTATTACAGCTGGCGATGTTAATAACTGCAGTGTTTGCAAAACACAAGGGAAGACAACCCCTGCCACCTCCTGGTGCTCCATCTGTGACGATGTCTTCTGTGATGGATGTCTGAAGTTGCACAACATGATGCCAATGTCACGTGACCATGAAGTTGTGGGTGTGTCTAATTCTACCAAAAGAAAAGCCAAGCAACGCTTTATGTGTAAAATCCACAAAGACAAACTGATCGAGTTGTTCTGTAAGGATTGTAGGATGGCCATTTGTCATACATGCTGTAGTATAAAACACAGGAAATGTGACGATGTTGATACTTTAGATAACATGACCCCTGTTGTGAGAGAACACCTGTCAAATCAAAATCAAGAACTGAAAATTAAAATGACAACTTCAGAAAACGAGGTAATCTTCAAGAAATCTGAAATTAAAGAAATAAAGACAAATGCGCAAAGTATCAGAAATGAAATCAGAAAATTACGACAGACTGTGGTAGAAGTGATTTTACGGAAGGAGAAACAACTCCTTGATAAAGTCGACCGATCTACTGATGAACAATTACAGGAATTACAAGCACAAATAACATCCCAGGAGATTGATCTGCAGATGTACCAGCAACAGTATGAGTTCACAGCCACTGCTGTCACGTCCAACTGTGAGATGGACATGTATGCCGTCTATGAGTCGGTGGGTGAGGAGTCGACAGACAACAGAGACAAGGACAACCGACCAGCGCCAGGAAAGGTTGTATTCACTCACGACATGGAGAAGCTGAGTAAAGCAGTGGATGAGCTACAGCTAGGGAAGGTTGAAGTTGTCGGTGGTGTCAGTGACCACCAGTCTACCCCTGTTCTACATCACACTATTGACTGTAAGGCAGATGATGACCGTTTGAATACTGTTATGTTTGGCGTCACAGTGTTGACTGTTGATGGTATAAAAGTAACAGTAGTTGCAGATCACTTAAACAACAGCATCAAAACATATCAAACATCAAAACCAAATACGCATGGCTATCATCTGCTGCTTTCCAGTGGTCCTTGTCAAATAGCAAAGTTAAGTGAGAGTCGGATAGCTGTCTGTGTTCCAAACAGTAGGGAAATAGTTACAGTGGATGTTACACCAGATCCTGTATTGATGTCAACTATCCAAACAAGAAAAAAGTACTTCTCTCTAGCCTGTCTGAGTCCTTCACAGCTGGTGGCAGGTACATGCCTACAGTCTCACTCTGTGGACATACTGGACATGACAGGGAAGATACTGAAGTCTATCAACACGGGTGTCATAAAGAATCCAGACTGTATCCATGTCACAAGTAATAACAACTTGATAGTCAGTGAAACATCAGTAAAATCCCTCGTATCTGTGACTAGTGAAGGAGAAGCTGTTTTCACCTACACTCCCACAGGAGACAGAGCTATGATAAATCCGTGGGGTATCACAACAACCAGCACAGGAGATATCCTGCTTGTAGACTGCAACTCCCACAAGGTGATTCAGCTGACCGAGTCAGGGCAGTTTGTCAGGGATGTCCTCACACAACAGGATGGTCTGAAATATCCTCGTGATATCTGTCTTGATGGGGACGGGTTTCTGTATATTGCGTGTAAGCATGATATCAGAGTATTTAAATTTAAATGAAAGGTGCGTGTACAAAGTGAGACATGTTTAGATTCCGTGCCGGTTTTAATAACAAAAATCATTCCAGCCATCAAAGAGTACCGTTCACCATTTTTCGAACGTAACTCCCAAAATTACGACATTGATCAAATATTAGAACAGGCTGTCATGGACAGAAGCCCCAGTTCGTGGCTCTTTGTAATACAGATATGCAGGATGACCTACTGTAATTGAACCATGACACATGTCAGGTATTGTCTGTTTATGAATATCTTTTCATATCCTTTGTTTGGAGTGAATAGTCAGCCAGATATGTCTGCCGATGAGCATTAACAGAAAACAGAGAGTTGCGGACATCATGTTATCGCTAGGCCTGTCTATCACAATCGCGGCAACTTCACCACGTTTGCAAATTAATTTCTTATAATTTACTGTTGCTTTGTTAAACCTTACTGTTGCTTATAGTGGACGCTTTAATGAGGGAATTATTTGGGACTTATTAAGTGCTATTAAGTATTGTCCATAGCGAGCATCGTCAGTGTTCGAACGTTAGCTTGAGTGGTTAACGCAGCACTCCGCAATATTCCAGCTGTACTTGGGCCGTCTGTAACTTATCGAGTCTTGATCAAACAATCCAGTGACCAACGCCATGAGCATCGATCTACGCAATTGGGATACGATCCCCTTAGCCGCCTCTTCCGACAAACATGGGTTGCCGATGACAAATCCTTTTGTACACTGTTTATCGTGTTTTGAAAATGATTTGCAAATGGATATGGCATTGAGCACCAAGGGAGGCGCAGGTAGGCCCAGAAAATTGACTGTTGGTGACAGGAGGCGGCTTGGTATTCTTGTTTCTAAAACAAACGAAGGAGTTTAGAAAACTTAAGGCTGGATATGATTGATAGAGGAAATGTGGCTGTCTGTAAAGAGACAATTAGAACTGAGCTGCATGCAATGGGTTGGCAGAAAAGTCAAGAATTCCATCACCGATCATGAAACCTGAACAAAAAGGAGCGAAGGTTGAACTGGTGCTTATAGCATAGAAATTTTAACTGGGACAATGTGATTATCTCAGATGAAAGTTCTGTGTGGCTGTTTCCTAATACACTGACATTCTGGACCAAACAAACTGAAACACCTTTGTATCAGCGCCCAAAGTACAGTCCGAAATTTAATGTGTGGGGTGGCATATATGTGTTGGGGCAACGCCCCTCTGTGTATTGAAGGGAATATAAACAGTGAGCGGTACACAGATATTCTCGAGGGACATTTACTTCCATCTGCTCACGTGTTCTATGGAAATTTTTGTATTTTCCAGCAGGACAACGACCCAAACCATCGTTCAAAGCATTTACAGGCTTGGTTTCGGACCCAAATATGACATTATTAGATTGGCGAAGCTATAGCCCTGACCTAAATCCAATAGAAAATGTTTTGGGGACTTATGAAGGAAAGTGTCAATAAGAAAATTCTGACAAATATTGCTGAAATGAAAGAAGAGGTGGTCCGATATTGGTACAGCATGGACTACGACTTTCTAACTTCTTTGATCAGTAGTATGCCCGCCGCATTGAAGTCAACATTGCTTCCTATGGTGACTTGACAAAATACTAACTGATCACCTCTCTTTGAATCTGGAGTTATGGTCTGCTAATATTCACATTTAATACGTGAGTAATGAATGAAAAAAAGACATGTACAATCTTTAAATTCTCTCAATAACTTTTTGGTTGTACTGTGCATCTCCTGCTTACTATCAACGCATCAATGATCCATATCAGTCATACTTCAGACTTCAATATCACTTTTGTTTATACTGCAGCCTTCACGTGTTCTTTCATCTAATTCTCAGGCTATGTGCTGCTTTTGTTCACTGTTTCTCTATACTACTGCAGTCCTCATTCTAATTGTACCTCGGTACAATCATCTCCTCCCACTTTGTATGCATGCCTCTCTATCCACATTCTGTTCATCACTTGCTTGATAACAGTGTTAGAGCCAACGTCGCTCACTGTAATAAAGCCGTTTTTCCTTATATTGTTATCCTTTTTCCCAGCGATGCCTTGTGCAGTGTGTAGGATGTGTTTTATTCACCCACTT